CTAACCCACAGGGCCAGACTCTATTGGAGGAGAACAGTAAGTGGATGGAGAAAGTCTCTTGGGACCTAGAGACCGTCATACACCAAAAGCCAAGACTGTGAAGCAAGCTTCGCCCTTACCTGTCTGCCTCCCTTACTGCCACAGTGGATCAGCGGGCATGGGTTTCCCGTCTCAGGACAAGTGCCCAGTGGATTTTTATCAGCAGGTATCTGTTTCTAAGCATGAGGGGAAAATCTGAGTTCTTTTCCAGAATGGCAGAGGTGAGGGTGGGCAGCTCATCAGCTCCTACCTCTGACCCCCCCTTTGTGCAGAGGCCCAGAGAGAAATGCAGCAAAGTAGAGGACAAGGAGTCAAACAGCACATATCTGAGTCTTGTCTTGGGACTCATTTCTAGAAGGTTCTAGAAGACTCCATCCATCAGATAGACGTCACCTTCACCAAGACTCACTCATACAAATCATAAGGCTCAGATCAGGGCCACCCTTTCAGGCTGTCCCCTACTCCTTCTGGGGCTTTGGAAGGGAGGAGAGAGGACAGCCAGGTATAAGAAACTGTATAGAAGACATCCTCTTGAAAATGCTTCTTCAGGAAAAGCTCCTCCTGAAACTCAAGGCAATGGTTAAAAGAGAAAGGTCTTTCCTCCTGCCTCATCTGTGGCCTGAAGAGACACAAGTTGGCACAGGTATAGTCTAAACCAGATGATGCTTCATTTGCTCAGCACTGACCACACACCAGGTGTGTTACACATCTATGGAAGAGTCACTGTTGAGAGCCTGCAGGCATTTACTGGAAGTCTTGATGACCCAAGCATACCAGGCCCCGCCCTGCAGCTTCTTTCTATATCTTAACTTCTAACCAGGTTAAGTGTCGTCATCGATGATTGGAAGAACTGGGCTCAGAGAGTGAAATGGCTTGCTGGAGGTCACACAGCAAGGTCATGTCAGGCAACCACAAAATTATAGCACAAGCAGGCATACAAACCTCGCAGAAGTTTTTTCAGGTGGCTGCTACATGCTGCTAGGACCTGGCCCAAGGACTGCTCGCTCCATGGGTGTCTGGGAGCCAGAAGTGAGAGTTCTAGAACCTTCATGTAACCAGAAAGCCTTTCCTTTTGGAGGCCAGAGGAGGAAAGAAGAATAAGCAGACTTGACAGATCTAAGGCGGACTTGGGCTGGACCAGTCACAGAGGTGTCACATGACCTTGGGGAAGGCCATCCCCTTCTCCTGAAGCTATTTTGTCATTGTAAAATAGAAGTACCAGCCATCAGGCCTAGCTCATCATCGGCCTGGGAAGTTCGTGGAGTTTCTCTATGTCACTGGGCGCAGGTAAGTGCTGCTTGTCACCCACCGCTAACTTCTCACGCTGAGATAGGGGTAGGGTGCAAAAGTACATAGCACTGGGGGATGGAGGGGCTTCTCCCTCTTGGTGGTGCTGCGGCTGAGACCCTGGGTCATCTCCTAGGCCCACACTCTACTGTCCATCCTGAACACCAGCCCCTCCCCGCGGCTCCTTCTCCTGAGTCCTGTCTGCAAGCTGGAAGAGGGGATGAGGTCCTGATTGCCTCCTGTCATTTCTCCAGGCCACTGGCATCACCCACCTGCTGCCCCCAAAGTGAAATGTAGGAATGAATACTAACAGATGAAAAATGATGAACGAAAATGGTGTGTGAGCTGTGCATATAAGCCTCCGGGCCCAGACCTCGTGGGGGTCACTTCCTGGGGTCTCTGGGACTGGTTTCCAGTCCAGATCTGTGGCTGATAAAAAGCGGGACTGACCCCAACAGGTGTCCAACTTGGGCTTTCTTTTTTCACTCAAGGCTAGTACTCTACCATTTGAACCACAGCTCCCCTTGCAGCTTTGTGGTGGTTAATGGAGGGTAATGCTTTACAGACTTTGCTGCCCATAGCTCTGAGCTATGACCCTCAGATTTCTGCCTTCTGAGTAACCAGGATTACAGGCCTCAGCCATAGGCACTCCGGACACCAACTTGGACTCTAGATTCTCCAAGAGCTCTCTAGCTGCTGATGACCCCTCTTGCCAGTCCTGGGCTTGAACTCAGGGCCTGGGTACTGTCCCTGAGCTTTTTTTGCTCAAGGCTAACACTCTACCACTTGAGCCACAGCACCACTTCTGGCTTTTTCTGTTTATGTGGTACTGAGCAATCGAACCCAGGGCTTCATATATGCTAGGCAAGCACTCTACCACAAAGCCACATTCCCAGCCCCGCAAGCGAAGCTCTTTACGGTGGTTTCCCCTGACCCTCACAGAATGACCAGGAACTGCACGGAGGCCTAGCATGTGTCAAGGACTTTGGTAGGCACTTGGCTTGTGAGAGCCTAGCTCTTAGAGGTACAGTGACTTGTCAAAGATCAAAGTGCCAGCAAGTAGCCAAAATCCAGCAAACTCAGAATGTTTTAAAGCACTGACCATCATATTAGAGAATAACAGTTTCTCCCTTCTTCGATCTGGGAGGAAATTTTAGTTTATACTCTGCCATTTAGCTTCAGAGCTGAGATTTGGAGCTACTCCTGGGCCTTCCGGAGTCATGTCAGAGACTCAACTTGAGGACTTTGGATTACTCTCCTTACCCTCCTGTCCTCCCCACCCTCATCCTCTCACGACATTTGACATCCATCACTCCCTCCCTCTGGGAACGCCCCCCCTCCTCCAGTTTCCATGGCAACACATCCCCCCTCCCGCCTCTCTACCAGCTTCTCACTTCACACTTCTCACTGTGGTTCCTGAGCCACAGTTCTCAATTCCCCCCAGGGTCCCAAGTCTCCTTCCTTTGATGCTACCCCTGAAAGCCATTCTCTTCCCTGTGTTCTCCAGCCCTGACCTTGTACATCAGCTCCACTTTTAGTAACACTTACTTTCCACGTGCTAAAAGCTTCCTTATGTAATGGGCTCTATGGTTTTGCATATAGTACGGTACTCCTGTAATCCTCACAACTCCACGAAGGAAGTTCTAAGGAGGAGAGTGTCAAGATCTGATGCCTGACTCTCCCCCACCCCCACTTTTCTTTTTGTCGGTCGTGGGGCTTGAACTCTGGGCCTGGGCACTATCCCTCAGCTCTTCAGCTCAAGGCAAACTCTCTACCACTTGAGCCACAGTGCCACTTCCAGTTTTCTGGTGGTTTGCTGGAGTCTCATGGACTTTTCTGCCCAGGCTGGCTTTGAACTGCTACCCTCATTTCTCAGCCTCCTGAGTAGCTAGGTTTACAGGCACGAGCCACTGGCACCCAGCGCTACTTTTGTTGTTGTTGTGTTACACTGGGGTTTGAACTCAGGACTTGCACTCGCTCTCCTTGCTTGTTCAGCTGGTTCTCTACCACTTGAGCCACACCTCCAGTCCTGTTTATTTGCTAGTTATTTTGGAGATGGGAGTCTCGTGAACTTATCTTCCCCAGGCTGGTCTTGAACTGTGGTCCTCCAGATCTCACCCTCTTGAGTAGCTAAGATCATAGGTGTGAGCCACCGTTGCCTGGATTACCACCACTTCTATTACTTCAAGAAGAGATATAAAGCTGTAAGGTATTTTTAAACTAGGGGCAAAACTTCCCTCCCACCTCCTGGGGAGAAAGGAATAGAAATTTGAGGTGGGGGAGACCTACTCGGCAGTTTTCAGAACTCTGTGATGATCTAGAATTACACTGTCAATTTGGAGCTTTAAAAAATGCATCATGCACAGTACATTTTGAAATGTGAAGACTTGGAGAGCTTCAGGCGGAACAAAAGTTCATGGAAAATTGCCCTTTTCCTCCAGATTTCTCTGTTTTAAGTCTTCAAAAACCTCATCTCAGGGTTTGAGCTACTAACATCTCAATGATGCTTGGCATTAACCACAAATTTGAACTCTGGAAAGTTTCCTGGAATTCCACTGGCATGAGTTTTACAAGATTGACAGGGTCTGTGATCCAGGGGCTGCTGGCTTGAGCTCTCTTGAGTCTCAGTCTTCTAGTCTTACTTCCTCTACTGGGATCTTCCATGAGGGTCAGCTGGGCTCATGGGCAGAATGCAGTGAGCTCAAGTTTTAGGTTGATCACATCTTGAGTTTGTCCAGCACTTGAACCACCCTATGTGCTTGAATGCCCTGTTTACTCTTCTTGGCCAACTCCTATTTATCCTTTAAAGCCTTCTGACCTCTACTTTGTATTGATGCAAATTTCTTTTGCTAGAAGAGACGATTCCTGCACCACTCTCCTCTCCCTAGGGCTCCGTGTTCCACACCATACTGAGACTTAATCATTTGCTTAGGCTTTTTCTCTCAGCATCGGCTCAAGCTTTCTGAGCTAAAGGCCAGGTCTGACTCACTTCCGAGTGTCTGTGCCCAGAATACCGGAGGGAAGGAGATTTCCATGCAACTCTGGATAACCCCAAGTACCTGTGGTCTGGACCCAGGAGCACAAGAGCAGCCAGGTGTCTTACACCCATAGGAGACCAGCAGTGAGCAGGCTTGCCGTAGCTTTGAGACAGGCCTGTCTTGGTGTCGGCTAAGGGGACACACTCCTTGCTAGGAGAATAAATGACCCCCTGCTCAATGTTCACAAATCCAATTGTAGGGTAAGGGTGAGAAGCATGATCACTGAGATGTCCCAGGTCCCAGGGGAGCCATTTCCTGCTGGAAGAGCATCCTCAGATCCAGGATTTCTGAAAAGGGGACCCTCACCCCTATGTCCCCCCCCCATGCTAGTTCAGTCCCAGCCAGAGTGACAGCCTCCCAGCTTTTGTTCCAAAGTAATGGCTGTCACAGGAGAAAGAGGTATATTGTTTCTTTTTTCTTCTTCTTCTTTTGTTTGAGACAAAGACGTCAATTTCTTTCCATCTATCCCAAAAAGGGAAGAAAATTAAATTTGTTTTTACACGGATGTCAGCGTACCACTTCAATAGAGTCAGGGGTGCTTTCCTGAGGCAGAGATGGGTGTGTGGGGAAAGGCGGGGAACAGGACAGACCCTGGCATTAGGGAAAGCCAAGAACTAGGAGTGCCTGGATACATTTCTACACCCAACCCAGGACAAAGCTGGCCCTCAGCAGTTTGAAGGAGGAAGCTGGGGGGCTGGGGCAGCTGGGGAAGACAAAGCCTGGGGGATCCAAAGGGAGAGGGCAGCAGTGGCCACACTCAGATCACACTTACAAAGGCCTTCTTCCTTCAGTGTCTGCAGCCGTCAGGCCCTGTGCAGGCAATTCTGATTCCTTAGAGGCTCTGCTACCAGGTACTTGGGGGTATAGCCAGATGCTAGGCAAAGAGGACAGAATTCCTTCCAGCTTTTGTTTTGTTTTTGGTCGGTTGTGGGGCCTGAACTCTGGGCCTGGGCACTGTCCCTGAGCTCTTCAGCTCAAGGCTAGTGCTCTACCACTTGCGCCACAGCACCACTTCGGTTTTGTGAGTGGTTTATTGGAGATAAGAGTCTCATGGACTTTCCTGCCCAGGCTGGCTTTGAACCTCGATTCTCAGATCTCAGCCTCCTGAGTAGCTAGGATTACAGGCGTGAGCCATTGGTGCCCGGCCCAGCTTCTTTTTCAGTCTGTTTTTTTTTGTCGGTCATGGGGCTTGAACTCTGAGCCTGGGCGCTGTCCCTCAGCTCTTCAGCTCAAGGCAAGCGCTCTACCACTTGAGCTACAGCGCCACTTCCGGTTTTC